CAACTACTGTATGGATGATAGAACATCAGAATCTTAGCCTAAGCTAGGCCTTCATGTTACAACCACGATAAGAACTGATGTGATTTGAGAATAAAGGGCGTTGAGCATGAATAGGCAATGCAGTTTTTATCGAGAATACATAAATCTGAACACAAATCTTGATCTTCAACACATTGTATATTCTCCACCATTGGATAGAACTCCACTGACTTCGAATTCACATCCATTGCACCAGAATGAAAGAGATTCTTGAATAAATCTCATTGAAGAGGATCATTGGGGAAATTCCGGATTTTAAATACTTTACGTTACAAACTTAAGTAGGAAGGAACTTTGGGCTGTAAATCTGTGAATAAAGATTTATGTTGTCTGCAAAAAGCTACCAACTGAAACAACCCTTCAGGTTTGGCATAAAAATAGTCTTTTAATGGAATTTTCATGGATTCTACAGAAGATTGCAATATACAGAGTGAGTCATAACTATTGGGACATAGACTAGGGGCGCATTGTTTGAGCCGAAATATGGTTGTAATGCCCCCAACTTTCTTCGTTCGTTGGCCTACTACAGGGGGTCGTTACAAAGTAAGTTTTCCTCGATCAATGGGTTCGTTGATTATTGAGGCAGGAGGCAGACTGAGATTGTAGACAATAAGACAACATATAGATATTACTGAGACATATATTCAGGCAGAATGGTCAGGCAGAGGTTACAGGCAACAAAATCAAAGTTTGCTTACATTTTAGATTGCACATTCTTGTTACACTGTTCACTTGTTTTTTTTTTAATTGACGAGAGATTCACTTCACTTTTACGTCTTAGTCACAAAAGTTGCAGTTTAGCATAAATCTACCTGAGTGGTTACTTACACAGGTATTATTAACGAAGTTCATTGGTTCATTGGTAGGTACTGTTCGAACGTAGCATGTTTGATAGACAGATACAAAGTCGGCTGGATACGTTTTATATTGAGTCACGTTTGAGACTGACATTTTACATACTGGTCAATAGATTCAATGATTGAACTTCAATCATTCCCGAGGCTCACTGACAAAACTTTCAACTAACACAACGGAGATCGAGACATCGTATTGGAGACTGATCAAGACTGCTTCAAGAATAACTTCAGACTGTCCTCTTTTATTCGGATTGTTCCTGCTTTTATACAGAATTTAGCAATAAATTTTGGAAGAATCAATTAAATATAAGACAAGCTCCATGTTGTGTTTATATAAGGCATGATTTTTCGTAGATTTTTGAGCGATACATTACAGATGTTAGGATTAATTTGCGAAACTAAAAAGATTTCGTTGTAGTTCTGAATTGTTATGACGATAAATAATTTTGAGCTATAACTCATACTCTTAATGTGAACAAAACTGTCACTTACTATAGTTTTCCATCAACCCTTTTTCAAGTAATAATTCAATGTGGTTTATGATTCTCATTAATTTTTCTCGACTTCAATTTGCACAAGTGAGATGATTTCGATGTAACTCTCCAATGTTATGATAATAATTCACTTCAGGAATATTAACAAAATTGACGATTACATGGTCTTTCCTTCACGTATTTGGGCTAAATAATAATTTATTGATCTTTCGAGCCAATCAGATTAAAGTCAGTCCCTCTTTACTGAACTTATAAATTCTCTGCAAATTCTAATCAACGTCATTTTTGTCTCTCAATTCGGTCCTGTGATATTAACCTGCTTCGTTCTTAAGTGACCAGTGAATTCGTTTTACAAAGGTAACGTACCTACGTATTCTATACATTTATTTATGCTAATGATGCTGCACTTAATTCAAAATAAACATTCGTCCGTTCACGTAATGATATTGCCTAGTATAGACGCATGATAAAAGTTATTCTTGTTCAAGACAATTATTTTTCACTGTACTTAGTTCAAAAGAATTCAGTGCTCCATACCATTTTCTCTAAAATACCCGGCGTTCATTACATGGTGATAGGTACAGAATTCAGGTGATAGGAAAAATATGAAGGGTGTATCAATCGAAAAAGTATCGACTATAAGCTCGCACAAAAAATCATTCACTAACAAGGAATATAATTCACGCAACAATCAGGTATATCACAGTCCAAATCACACTCTTCATAAAAGAAATGATATTTGAAATCCCCTTCCGATACTTTGAATTGTTCAATTGCGTTTTTCTCGAAAAAAAAAAATGGAAAGATGATTCAAAGAGTACCCACATCACGTAGAAATTATGTTTATGTCATATTTTTCATTCGAAATCACTGGAGTCTCGTCCAAAAAAGTTATCAGTCGGTTTCATCATCAGGAATCATTCACGTGCGAGCCCTGCAACAAAGTGTGGAATGATACGTCAAATGATATTCCCTGTATAAAAGTATTTCTTTGTCCTGATTTTAATAACAATTGAGAAGAAAAAACAATAGTTATTTATGTATCAAGGGAATTATGAGGGCCTTAATTACCGATGGCAAAGTTTGCGTCCCGAGGGCCTCTGGCCCGAGGGACAGCAATTGCCAGAGGTTATTGAGGCTCAGTAATTCCCGTGATACATAGATAATTTTATTTCTGACTGATTTCATTCATTAGATACCTGCCCGATTGGAAATTAGACATGTTTTTCCGTATAGTTTCAATGTCATCAGAATGTCAGATGATGATCTTGACTACCGCGAATAGGAGATTCCTTATTGCTACGTTACTGCGTGGTTGTTGCTATGCATTTCTTATTTAATTTCAGTTAGAGGGAATTATAGCATCTATAACATCCCAAGGGAGTTATGACCCTCATAATAGATATCGTAACTATGACGATATAAGCTTATAATGTCACTGTCAGAAATAAACAAATTTAACGCCCAGTGTCTTTTTCCACAGCTATATTTCATCAAGGCATATTCGGTCCTATCCCCATATCTTGGTCCAAGCAATCCGCGTCCTCAGCCTATGTTTCGATATTTATGACTCAATGACTGGTAATGCCAAATGTATACAGGTTGTTTATCGAAACATCACATATTAAGGAAGGATGTCATTTGTACCAATCAGCCCCTTCGATAATGTTTTAGAAATAGAGTAACTACCGTTTAGTAGCATCAACATATTATTGTCGTTATTTTTTTCAACGTTTTACCTACCCTGAAGTGCATAATAGTTATTTATGTATCAAGGGCGTAAAGTAGGCGTTTATGGCCTGTGGCGTGAATAATGGCCCGATGGCGCTAGCCGAGGGCCATTACACGCTCAAGGCCATAAACGCTTTTCACGCACGTGATACATACAAAATTTTATGCACTAGTGGTTTATTTTCTGACACAAAAGTAATGACTATAGATTTCGATAAACTATTATTCCCCCGAATTTGATTTGTTGCGTATGAATTCAGTAATCAAGAGAAGCGTAATGTTCATGGATGATTTACATATGAAAATTATCGTACGAATATTGCAATTATCGTAATAGTAAAACTCTTTGATCTCTAGAAGAGATTCATTCCTCAGAATTTCACAATATGCATACCCAGTATATATACCTAACTAATTTTGACGTTGTCAATCAAGCTGATGGTTGTTGTCTATATCAATACATCCAATCATCCAATAAACGAGCTGAATTGTCATTCTTTGACTGAAAAGTAAAAATTAGTGATAATAATAATAGCGATAGATATGGAATCGGATAAAGAAGAAGTTTATGATATACCGCTGGATATATTAGAATCTAGGAAAATGATCATGAGTTTTTCATGAATTGATATGTGGATATAAGGTAACTGAGAACAGCGGGCGGTAAAGTGCACTTTACGGCCCGTGGGCCATAATGAGCCCGCGGGCGGTAAAGTGCGACTTAACGCCCGCAAAACCGGGCGGTAAAGTGCACTTTACGGCCCGCTAGTGCATAAAATAGTATATACACCTCGGGACTAAATTGTTTTTAAATCCCTCGACAAATTATAGTTCTCCCGTCGGTCATGCTATAAACTTTTTGTCTAGGGATTTAAAATACCACTTCATTTTTGTTTTTTTTGTGAAGACTATACCAGTATCTTGAAATCACCCTGTACCTAGTCGTTTAGTCATTATTGGTTTCTCAATGAGGAAATATTCATTACTTAACATGGTTCGAAATTCAATTTTATTATTTATAATTTGATCTCGTCCATCAATTCAAAATAATTGGGTTGGGAAATTATTCGAATTCCGAACTTAATTATCCAAATCATTCATCATCCCAATGAACGTATTGAAATCGAAACACAATAACATAATTTTTATCACTAATTGAAGTTTCTGCATCACATAACTAACCACAAATTGGCAAAACAAAATACTCTCCTGAATAATTGGAATAATTCGATCTTATTCGAGAAATTGAATCAATATACCAATGTTTCTGAACATAATATGTTGGAATGTCAGTCCGAGAGACAGTTCTCGAAATGAATAAAAAATACACAAAGAGATCAATAGAATAAAAGTAGTGATCCGCATGAATGAAACGAATTTATTTGAGAAATTTCATACATTATGGAAAAATATCACCTTCTTAGTAGTGGATATGGGTTGGTGTATTCATTGATGACTATCTATGTGAATTATTGATTTTAATTGATTTTATGATTATTTAACGAAATGTTATCGATCTTGTTGAATGCATGCATCTATTCCGTATTATCCATTTTTCCTTTTGCCCATGAAGGGTATAATCTGCATTTCCATATTAATACAAGAATTTGCTTTTCCATTATCAAATCCCCATATATTCACTTTCCAAACAGCATCTGAGACAGGAATCAGTCGCAAAAAATCTGGCTTGATTGGACAGTTAACAACTTTATATTCACCCTGAAAAAAATATGTCTATTTGTAACGGAATCAGGTATTCAATGGAGAAAAAAAACTGAAATCAAAGATTGATTCATTTTTCCACATTTTTTTTAATGTTCTGGTTCCCACGCAAAAAGATATCCTGTAATGTTCAGAGACAAAATATATGGACAAACAACGCTGATATTAATTTTTATTCATATAATAATTTGGATAACCAGTTATCGAATACAATTTTGAAAAACAGGCGTCTTTATCACCGATAAGCAAGGATAATCAGTTATTTTTAGTTCCTATTCCGTATAATCCTTTATTTCTTTCTCCAAAGAAAGGTTTGATCTGTATTTCCACATCAACACAAGATATCGCTACTCCTTTATCAAAGTCCCATATATTCACTTTCCAAACAGCATCAGAGACAGGAAACAGTCGCAGAAAATCTGGCTTGATGGGACACCTAACGACATTATAGTCGCCCTGGAAAAAATTCTCTACTGATTTATATGAACATGCTTCACTTTCTCCATAATATTCAGGTTGGAAAGTATTAGAACTAGTTGGAGATTAAAATTCTAGAGGCAATCAAAATTAATTATCTAGACTGTGACGATCTGCAGATTCTTGATATCAAAATACCCGAGCGACAATATTCAGAAAGGCCTGTGTACAAAACATGATCGATGTAAATTGATTTACCGAATTGATATAGATTGATGACGAAAAGTCATAAAACTTCAATTGGCGCCAAATCAATTACTGAAATGCAATTCATTAGATTAGTGGCCATAAACAGTTTATGTCATGCAGGACTCTAGATAAGTGGAAGTTTGGTGGAAGTTTAGTGACCCACTAAGCTATAACAACTTATACTGTTCACAGTGTGTCCCAAACATGAACAATGTTGTTTCACAAGAAATCATGGTCGTTATATTCTACTATATGTATATTGGAAATTATGAAGAGATCTATGGTGTAAAACACTTCACATTTCCATTGTTGATTATTAAAGCTTGACTCAGAACCAATTTCTACTGATATGAGTGTACCCCAAGGGTCCATTTGAGTACCAATACTATTTATATTATACATCGATCAAATATTGACTCTTGTTCTTGACACAATAAAGTATACTGCTTATGCAGATGATTTCTCTTTGATTTCATCTGCACCTGATTCGTTATATAGGATCAAAAAGTGTACTGATACAGTAACCTTTGCATTCAACTACTTCAATGATAACGATTTATATTTTAACGTTGATAAGACGCAAATTCTACGATTTCACTATCGCCAAAATGCTATTGAACCACTTTTATTTCCTCAGAATATCCAGACTTTGAAGAACACAAGTGACTTCATGAAATTTTTAGGCATTAACTTCGATGAGTGTCTTGACTAGAAATCTGAATGTTCTCAGTTAATTTCGAAATTGTGTTCCCTGTCTTTGGGGCCACTCCATAATAGCAAAGAATGCGTTCATCTTTCAGAAAAGTATAATTTGCTGTATAGGTGGAGTTTCAAAGAGGCAATCATGCAAGAATCTTTTTGTTCAGTATGACATTCTACCACTGCCATGCATTTCAATTTTTGAAACATGTGCACTGTGCATGTATATGTATTTCTAAACAAACATGATTTTGTAGTTAATAAGAATACTCATAATATCAATATTAGAAGTAGAAACTTATTTCAAATCATACCATATGCCAAATATATGATAACTTCTGTTCCAAACCATGAAGGATCAAAAATGTCAACCATCTACCTGATGTTTCGAAAAATATTGTATCCATTTCCAACGAAAACTAAGATGTTTTCACTTGAAAAATGCTTTCATAGTGTAGGAGAATTCTTCTCCTCATGAGTCTTTTGACTTTGACATTGACTTTTTCTATATATAACTTGTATTATCCAAAGGAAATAAATAAATATTATTATTATTATTGAGCTGGTTGTTAGGTTACCTTCTATTTTGATGTATCAAAAGGTGTCAACCACTGCTCAGTTCGCGGTCTCGTGTTTTTATAAATACTCCAAGAAATCTGAACCAATCAATTCATCACCTGGTTCATCCACATTTTGGGTAGTTCGATTATTTGAAATATATCATTGTGTATTTACCGGTTTTAGAGGGCACACCAGAGGTTTGTCGAAATGCTCCGTGAAAACACTCCATGCTTGGTTCTTCATCATCACATATTTGCAAACTTCGCTATTCCTGTAATCCTTGACTCTGTACTCGCAAGTGCTAGGGTTTCCTGAGGAATCGCATTTCAGGAAGCTGAACGTCATCTGCGAACAAAACGAATTGTCTCATTTGATGAGTTCCTGTTGATTAGCAGGAACGTAAAATGGATCAGGACCGTATCAAGACGTGTTGTTTTGTCCACTTAGTAATCGTAGATGTTACTTTTTGTTTCATGTAGAACAAAGGAGTACAAATAATATCCCGAAACGCCTCGTTTCCATGTTGAAGTTCCTTCGAGAATCGGATTTTATCATTACGTATAGACAACCTGCTAATTTGGATAATTTTTTTCTCTATTTGTTTAAAATGATAAATAACACCATGTAGGTTTTTGGAACTTCTCATTGTATTTAATGATGGAGCAATTGGGAATATGACAATTTGATTTCATGATTCTATTTTCTATATCTTGCTTTGTTTTCGAGATAGAGAATTGAGATTTAGAGATCTGAAAGAATATTTCCCTCATATATAATATGTCTCATGAAAGCATTGCAATTATCAAAAAATCACAGCGGTAATCGCACTGCAGGGCGAAAAATTCCCGTCGCCATAACAACACATTCGAAGGATTATGATCTACCTCAGAAACAATGAATACATGAACTCTCACAATTTTTAGATAACACGCTTTCTTGTGAAATTATCGGAAACTTTCATGCACTATCTCCTCTGAAGAATAAGTTGATAAAAGAGTAGTCAGGGGAAGTACTGCTTTTGTTTTTTCAATTGAAAACCTGAATTAGAATCTCAAAAAATCTCTTTGGTTTTTTGTGCTCAAAACTTCATCACCCTGTATCTGGAAAACGATTCATTCCCGGACATAATAATATGTGCATGAGCACAATTTCTTGTAGAGCGAATTGTCTTTAAGGGTATCGTCACCAGGAAGACCCTGTATAATGTTTTCCTGGATTTCAAGATAATAACCTCATGATTGAAAATGCAATTGTTCAAATACAGGGACATATACAGTGTAGGTATCATCCTTTTCAGAAGAATCTCACTGCTATAATTGAAAAATATATATATTTCAAGGAAACAGGAGAATCTATGACAAGTGAACAATAATTTCAAAAATGGAATCAGCCTTATGTAGAAGTACTAGGATTTCGATAGCCCTGAAGTAGTGTACTCGATTTTTTCTATAAACTTTTTTCAATTTCCGAGATGAAATTCCTCGTTAATTTGAGTTAATCGAATATTTCGTGAATTTTCTTCAGACTGAAGCTGCTGATATGTTCAATATCAATATTCATTAGGATAACACTCTTTATTCACCTGATGGCCACGCGATTTTTCGAATATTTTTGACCCTTGAGCACCCAATCTACTGCGATGAAGGTATCTTATATGCCTAACCAGATGTGTATATATGCATTGAGGATATAATCCGTAGCTCATCAAATGTTTCCAACAAAAACTCACATAACCTCTTGAAAACATAAACCTGAGCTTCATAAATATGATTATGACACAAATATGTATCAAACAAATATTGAACCTAACCCCACAAAATCTTTTGTAAAAAAACGAAGGCAAGAACAACACAGATCTGATAGGTATCATGATATATTCAAACATAAACTTTTCAAAAGCGATATAACTCAAAACAGTCGTCTCAGTGGACATAATTATTATGACGGTCCAATTTCTCATGATTACCTCCAACAAAAAAAGCAGGCGACCCTTTAGTTGAGTTTTTATTAATCCGATTCCGCCACCAGTATCACTTCAATTCGTGTCGTTTTATTTGCAACTTTTCCGATTCGGCTCGTTACTTATCAGTCCGTCCCACTACAAGGAATGACGTGGAATGACTGTTGACAGTTTTCAAAGAATCAAATTAGATTGTAGGAAAACTTCACTTTTTGAAAGTAGTAGATATTTAGAAGACATCTTTATCACAAGGTTCACAAGTTTATGATCCTTGCAAGTAAGACGTACCGGTTTGATATGTTCATTCCCAGATAAAATGGATACTCTCGATCTCAGAAAAGTTTGTCCTATCAGCACAATCACTGCACCAAATATGCGTTGATTCATTTTCTGGATTCAAAACTCCCCAATAATATGAATATAACCTCTATAATCTATAATATGCCACTTCTCCCATGCAAGGTCAAGAAGTTCCTCGTTATATTTGCAAACGTCATTCTGTTCCCACCACCGCTACCAGAATGGAACAAATAAAACGCAACTTATGTATTTTTCTTGCTCTAGGTCTCCTATGTCTCCTCACATCTATATTTGCTCTGGTGCTGTGTAAATGTAATGTACAAAAATGAACAATGTCCCGAGCGATAAAAGGAAAGGGAATATGATGTGGTCGTACTGCCTTGAGCAAGGTTAACAAGTTAAATGCCGCAGTATATGATACATATATCTGGCCCCCTGGGACATTTTTATATAATCATGGATTATGATTGAAACTATCGTACTTGAACAAGAGATACAGGACATATAATGTGGAAAAAAAGTTTTTGATTATATTTCAAATTTCTCTGATGGCACGATATATGTGCCTTCTACATTCCTGCTATAATTATGAAGGGTATTTTTAGGAAGTGGGTGATGATTTTTTGAAGACAGCTTTCTTCCTCGTATTCTTTCCGGTGGAGAAACAGAAGCATCTGATAGAGAGAGGAAAATTACCTAAAAATTGTACTCTTATCAAAATACGAGAAATGTAACTGTTCACGAAATATTTGAGTTTCTGTAGTGACACGATATCAGCAGGTAAATTCATCAGTAACAATATTTTACTGGGCTTCGAAGTTCTTGGCCTGCCACCATCTCCATTTTTCGTTTTGAAACATTATTTTTCATGCAATCTTTGCACAATCCTCAAATTTGTTCTAGAATTTGAAACGCGTCAAGCGGGATACATCTCTGCATTCGCGAATAACCCACCATTTCTTAAAATCTCAGTTGAAAATCGCAGTATAATAATATAACCAAGCGAATAAACCAATCGAAGAAATTAACAAAAACAATGTTGATAACTCAAATGTCAAAATTGATACCGAAATTAGTCATGACTCCTGAAATATTGTCACCGATGAATTAATCTGCTGATACTGATGGTACTGATTCTACAAAAACTCAAATATGTCGAAAACGGTTGAATTCTTCGAATTTTAAGAGGTGTCGTATCTCTTTTATGTCATTTCCTTTGCTTCATCTTTCATCTCTATCAATACACATTTTGTGCCATCAGTTAATTCATAAAACAATACTTTTTCAATGTTCTATCTCCTCCAGAACGATCGGTGCACATTGATGACCCGCCCTGTATGCGCTTCAAGGTACTCACCATGTGTCAGGAAATATTCATGAATTGACCGATGTAAGGCACATATTATAGTTAGTCTTGAAGCCTCAATGGCTAAAATGTTAGGGCACATACCTTATTGTGCCTTGTGGCAGTCAACGTGTTGAAGTCATGGACAGATAACTCCATGCAAAAAGAAGTTGTTTTATTTTTAATTTTTGTAATATTCTTCTTCGATTTAGCACTATGTGAAATTTATTTAGTGAGGAAAATCTACAGTGCCAGTGACTCTGAAGCAATTATTTACAATTGCTCGCTCGTAAACTATTCACATCGTTAGCTTTCCCAAAAGTGGAGTATGTTCTGGATTACCCAGCACCCTCGAGCTCATACGGTAAATCATTCACCAAACTCTCTACCATACATTCCACATCCATCAAAAATCAAAGCCACAAGAATTATTCACACACTCCATTTAAAAATCCGCTCATCAGCCGGTGTTGTTTTTGACATTTTTGCGTCAGTAAATAGTCACTCTGAGGCGAATACGCTACCCTGCATTTTCGAAACGTTAACCCCTCATCAGCCACTCCAACCTGTAAATTAATAATACGGCCCTGACAAAACAGCAATTAATCACAGGAATTTCCTTGGCCTTCTTCGCAAAACAATGTAATCAAATTTTAATTATGGAATACTGATTAACTGGCAACCAGCGAATTTGCGAATCGGAGTTCCAGGATTTCGAGCGGTTAGGATAGAAAATCATTGTTGTCAAAATGAGAACATCTGGATGGCTTCGGAAGCAATTCTCAATGCATAGATCAAGTAATCCGGAATTTTAGAAATAGATGTATATTTTGTTTTCCGTCTCCATTTCTTCCATTCTTTACATCATTTGATAATATGTTGTTATTCAAAAGCTGAGAATATTATAATTCCGTATATGCTGTCCTATGCAGTCTATCTGATGTTATTCATTTATACATGGAAAAAAGTAGTCGATTTTAGCTCGAGGTTGTGTTGTCTCCCGACGAGTACCGGAGGGTGACAAAAAACGTTGAAGTAAAATCTAATATTTTTTCCTTGTATAATGTTGTTCTGTGACAGAAAAGAGTACGAATCAATTTCGAGAAGATATATTAAAATCGACGTGAAATTTGACAACACGAGAATCCTATCCCCAAACAATCACAAATTCTTACTCAATTAATAAAAATACATGAATAATAGCAATTTCACGAACTACAAAATCTTTATGATTCCTATATTTTCAAGCCCACAAGTCACGTAAACCTCACTAAAAACCAGATTCTAGACGTCAGTCCCGCGGATTCTCTTGGTTTTCAAAATTCCCTGCGACCGACTCCAAAAGTCACAAGCCCCATGTGGACTCTTCTTATATCATCATATAAGGACCGTTGCGCTGCAACGGGGGAACTACACCTTTTCCAGATTTATTTCAGAAAGCGTCAATTCAATTTCAGAATAGTCACTTGTATTTCAGAAAGCGTCAATTGTATTTCAGAATAGTCAACTCAATTTCAGAAAGCGTAAAATGTATTTAAGAATAGTCACTTGTATTTCAGAATAATCAATTCAATCTCAGGAAGCATCAATTGTATTTCAGAATAGTTAATTGAATTTCAGAAAGTGTCAATTGTATTTCAGAAAGTATCATTTTAATTTCAGAAAGCATCAATTGAATTTCAGAAAGCATCAATTGTATTTCAGAATAGGCAATTGAATTTCAGAAATCGTTCTCTATAGACTGAAAGCCAGCGACCACCAGATATCATTTCAACAAGGTTGATATTTTATGTGTTATATCTTATTCGGTGGAATCGTTCTGGGGGTTGAAAATCTTCAGTACTGGATGGGCTTTCAAGAGATACCGGGTGTTGAAAGTTGAAAGTACGAAAAAAAAAACTGGCAAAAACATAATTTCAACAAAAGCTGATCTTTTTATGTTCAATCTGATCCTATCATGAAAGAGAATATACAATTGCCAGGCACTTTCCACGGGGTGTTCTCCTGCCAGACAACTTTATAAATAGTGAGAATATCATGACATTCACGTCATACAATATCAAACAGCCATCAGTCACTTCCTATTGGACAAACATGTAAAAATCAGAACTTTTTCATAGCAATAGAAATAAGTGTATCTATGATAGTCCCCTATACCTGAAATCCTGTAATCTGTTCATCAAATAGTACATAGGTACCTAAAGGTACATAAAAAAGAAATTCGGGGTGATTAAATTGAAAACATCACTGCAGGAAGCACCTAACATGCTGAGTGCACTTTTCACCAACTAATCGATCTTGATGCTTTCTGAAATTCAATTGACGCTTTCTGAAATTCAAATATTTTCTGAAATTCAAATAACGCTTTCTGAAATTCAATTGACTATTCTGAAATACAATTGACGCTTTCTGAAATACAAGTTACTATCCTGAAATACAATTGACCAATTCTGAAATTAAATTGACTATTCTGAATTACAATTGATGCTTTCTGAAATTGAATTGACTATTCTGAAATACAATTGACGCTTTCTGAAATACAATTGACGCTTTCTGAAATACAATTGACTATTCTGAAATACAATTGACGCTTTCTGAAATTGAATTGACGCTTTCTGAAATACATCTGGAAAAGGTGTAGAATGGGTTAAGGCTGTTCCAGTTATGTAGTCTCGATGGTAACGCCTGTACAGAGGTCTCATATCGATTGGACAATTTCTTTATAAAAAATTATGTAATTTTGAGATTTCAGGAGGTTCATAATGTTTTCGGATAAATTTGACTCCACAGGGACCTAGAGGAACCTTTCAAACCGGACCTATTCGAGAGTACTCACTTCAAAATCATTGCTGATTTCTTTCAAAACCGTTAGTTTGAGATTGAAGAAGGCTTCTTTGGTTTCGTCATTATATGTCACCTTAGCGTCTGTCCATCTCATCGTGAAGTTATCTTTTCCTCCTTTACACATTTTCAAAGAACGGATGATGATCTTCTTGTGTTGCTGTGAATTAAAATAAAAATGCTGGTTGAAGAATGCTAAATATATTATTATGGAGAGGTGTGGAATGTGAGTAGCAGCTCTTATTTTCGGGTGAAATAAGAGAAATATTGTTTCGAAATCATTCTTTTTTCGGATTCAGAAAAATGTTGAGCACCTGACAGTAGTGCATCTGACTGACTAAAGGTGAATATAGCATATATTTCA